TCCTCAGGGCTGCTCTCGATCCATGTTTTCATTCAACCTTCTAAATTAAAAGGTGCTCTGATATCTCCTTTTAAACAACTTAAATTTCAAGTTATTATTGAATCATAGAATCACAGAATGATTTGGGTTGGAAGGGACCTTAAAGACCATCTAGTTCCAACCCCCCTGCCATGGGCAGGGACACCTTCCACTAGACCAGGTTGCTCCAAGCCTCATCCAGCCTGGCCTTGAACACTTCCAGGGATGGGGCATCCACAGCTTCTCTGGGCAACCTGTGCCAGTGCTTCACCACCCTCTCCAGGAAGAACTTCTTCCTGAGATAGGTCTTGAGAGACATAGCTAAAAATGTCTGAATTGAATGTGTTTGTATTTGTGCAGTATGTACTTTTTTTATATAGTTGTAAGCAAAACAGTCATATTATGTGGGGGGAGGTCTGTTTTTGGGTTTAAGGTCTATTACATTATTTTGTTTCATACATATAAAAATCTCAGTAGACCAGTGTGTATATGGTGTTAGTCACCAGAAAAAAGATGTCAGTCTCTGCCCTCAGGGACAGGGAAAATCTGAAAATCCTCAGAGATACTCAGTTTTCTGAAATATTAGTACGATGTGATTTAGAGACCAGGTGTGTTCATACTTATCACTTTGCTGTGACAGTAGCTGCTTGCACTGGCTCGCTAGGCCTGTGCTCGAAGCATTTTTTCTGTAATAATGTTGGTTACTGTCAAAGATATTTTTTTATTATTATACTTGCAAGAAGCCTGACGAGGAGATGGTTGCTGAAGAAATGCTTCTGTGTGTTTAATTTGGGAATGAATAAACTATGCTAATGGCCTCATTTTAACAGTGGAGTGTGCATCTGAAGGCTTTTTGTTATGGCTTTGCTGCTAAGTTTTGGGGTTTTTTGGCCTAGGTTAGGCTCAGTAGTGTGAAGTGCAGAGTCGCAGGAGTCAGCAAAGCTGGAGGTGGAGTGCGATGAGCAGTCATGCACCGCACATGCTCTGCCTTGAGAGAGCTCTGTGATGGCCCTGAGGTTTTAGGGCGATGGCAGCTGTCCTGTGCTCAGCTCCCCTGCGTGTCTGAGGAGAGCCATCGCCGCCCTGTGAGCAAAAGTGCACAAAATTGAGTGTACAGAGCCCAGCGAGATGGTTGGGATGCGTGAATGAAGGGTGAATGCGGATATTGAAACGCTTCTGGAGTGAGATGTTAACGTTAATTGAATGAGAAGTTAATCGTCATATAGCTACAGGTGTGAGTGTGGTGATTGGTTCAACTGGAAAGTTTGAACATGTTCCAATGCCATGTAGAACTTTGAATTTCATACTTGGTGAGGAAACATAATTTACTGTGTTTTATTCTAAGGGACGTTTTGCTGAAATACATTAGAAGAGTTTCAAGACTGATTGCCATCTTCTTGTTTACTTTGTGACATATAAATAGGAAATCGTGCATTTCCATACCTATTTAAAGAGAAGTTCCCTTACAACGTAAATTGGATTCTTTAGAGAAACAACTGTGATGCCGATAACTCCAGTCAGGGTATTTTTACTGTGTTGTTAACTTTCTGCAGCCACCGACCACATGAATATATTGTGGTGGTCTTAATCCATCTGTCATTGTTTATGAAAATCTGACGAGTGTTGCAGCTACCTGCTTCAAAAGATGATCAAAACATGGTATTTCATATAATGAAAATGTAATGTTGCTGATATTTTATTTTCCACATATGAAAAAACTGGTCAAGTTTTCTGAAGATGCTGCTGACATTCAGGAGCACTTCATCTTGTCAAGATAATTTCTATAAGCATCACCCACATTATGCACTTACCATTTGTATATTAAAACTAAAATTCAAAAAATATGAGTGCCGCTCTGATTTTTGCCACTGGGAGAAAGCTTCTGAAATTTTGTAGGTTCAAAGCTTTAAAATCAGGTTCATGTAGGAAAAGAAGAAGCATTTCATAGTAACTTTCTTTCGAAGTGCTGTGGTTTGTAAAGGAACTTGTTAATATCTTATTAGAAGGATTATTTATTCCCTTGACTCTCTTTTAGTGAGCAGTACAAATACTTGGAGAACAGATTAACAGTTCTTTGGTAATGCTGAGTAGAATGTATTTTAAAGTTTTTTGGTTGTGTTTTTGTTTTTGTTTTTTTTTAAGTAATAATGTCCAAAATGGCATTAAAAGGTTTTGCAGCTGGAATTTCTGCTAATTCTTCCATTCATTGATTTGAAAAATTACATTTTTGTCAAGAGCTTCCCGACTAAAACTTCCTCCTACTTAAAAACCAAACCCAGTTATTTCTGGCAAACTGCTTTTCCTGCAAAGGACACACACCCTGACTTTTATACAGTAGGTTGGAGTGTTTCTGGAAGTCACTCTGGTTCTGCCTGGTATGTCAGCACAGCTCTGTAAACATGACTATTCCCTGCAATTTCTCTTTGTTACTTTGAGGCTGTAATATTTTATACCTTTATTTTTTTTCTTTTTTAAGCATTGGAAAATGTAAGTTTAAATTATACATTGTTTAAAAACAGATGGAACAACCCAGAATGTTAGTCCTTGTTAGATAAACCCAGCATCTCTTTGTTACCTGTCCCAGTTTCGATTTCAGAGTGTTGGCAAGACGAAGCATGAGTCTGTCAGCTGGAGGCTGTTAGCCCTCTGCCTGGGAACCTTTAAGTGACATTGAATCTAAGTCGTTTGCTGGTGAACTAGAGGAGTATTTGGTTCACACAGGGTACAGTGAGCAACGTGCATCCTGCCCGGGCTGCACACAAGCAGCAGCCACGGGAAACGGCTTTGCACCAGCTTTGAAGAAGGACAGAGCTTGTTTGAAAGCGGAGTGTAAAGCTGAGTTGCCTCAGCTAGCACTTGCACATCTGGGAAGCAGGTTTGTGTTTCGTAACCTCCTTGCCAAACTGGTAGGAGCTGGGTGTGTCTAGATCTAACTTTGCTTCTGGAGAAGCCAAACTTTTATTTTACGAGTGACGTGCATTATTTTTAAAAGTCTTCCCTCTCTTCTGGTTTGTTTTTTGTTAGGAGGTCCAAACATATGGGCCATCACCTCTGAAGAGCGGGCCAAGCATGACAAGCAGTTTGATAGCCTTAAACCCAGAGGAGGCTACATTACAGGTTGGTCTGAGGTTCTGCATGACACAATAACTTCTGTGTACACATACTGTCTTTGCAAAACAATTAAACACACCACACGCTGCACCCCCCCGACATCCCATTTCTAGCCCTTTGTTGTGTGACTAATAACCATACTCTTTGGGTGAACAGCCACAATTTATTACTGAATTTCTAGAAGTCTGGCACAGGAATGTTCTATTAATCCCACGGCTCCTGCAGCCAGCAGAAGCAATTTGCTGTTGTTCTGTCTCGTTTCAAAAAAACCGAAGAGTATCAGGCTATATGGGAGACTGCCAAGGAGCACTTAGAGTAGCTATTGTGGCAAGTGATGCCAGAGATGCCAGAAGTGGCTCTCCTCTGTCTGAACAGTGTTAGAGAATACTGTGCTGTTAGATATCTTTGTTCTGGGGGAGGAGGCAGGGAGAGAGATGCTGACAGCTTGTCCTTGTTAATGACTGCTTGAAGTCTATTAACCCTTGGGCCTTCAGTGAGTTCTGCATAGGCTGATGGCATTTTGCAATGGCCTGCTGTCAGTTCCAGTTGCATTCTCTGAAACAATTGGCTCATTTTGCTGTGCACCTCAGAATTTGCAATTTTTAGATTTAAGAATCTGCTTGTGCCATCAAGAAAAGGCTTGATTTCACTGTCAAAGATGACTTAATTTAAGAATGTCCTGTTGTTTCTGGATGGGTGGGCACTAAACACCAACCCTGATCGCTCCTACCTGCCTAACTATCTGCTAATACCCTAGCTGGTGACTCCACTGCCCCTGCTTTTCCTCTTTTTGGTCTGAAAAGGACTGAGGGGGAGAGTGGGAAGTTGTCTGGAACATGGCTAAGTGATGCGTAACTCCTGCTTTGGCCAAACAGCTCTGGGAGGCTGGTGTTTACTTTACCACCAGTTGAAAGTATGCAGTCCAGGGGTCTACCTTGAGGCCACATCTGGGCTCTTATCTGCGCCTTTGTCTGCAGGCTTCATTATTTATTTGGCAAGTGCTTGAAACGAAAGGTTCTGAATCTGAGGGAAGAAAGAGCTGAAAAAGTAACCTGTAAGCATCTGTAATTCCCTCATAGCTAAGAATAAACACCACTATCCATGTTGAACCACAGAGTTGTTTAGCAGCACAATTGGTACCAATTGATGTGGAACTTGATATGGAATTACACAACCGTTCCCATTCACTTCTTGAAAAACTGAAATAGTGGATGTTCTGTAATGGAAGAGAATATTATTTAGAACATCATGTTTTTCCAGTTTTTCTGGAGAGGCAGTACTGGCTCAAGTTAGGTAGGATAAAGGAGGAGGAAAGAAATAGCATGCTTATCCTTTCCTGTAAAAGTAATTGGGGCAGGATTTTTCCTGGTTTTAAATCTTGCATCTGTTAAACTCTTGGCAGCTGTTGATTTTGTGACCTGTTAAAGCTTTTTATAGCTATTCGAAATCACTTCTCAGAGCAAAGATTCGGGATTATAGAATATGTGGGTATCTGACAGTCAGTGGCACAACAGAAAGAGGAGATGGGTGGTACAAAACTGGAAAGCTTGGCACCCAGCATGCTGGTTCCTTTTGCAGATCTGGGCACGCAAGAGAGTGCTGAGGTCTTCTGACAATCTGTGTCTCTAGTGTAAAAGTTTGTCTTTCTTGTTTATTGTAGGTGATCAAGCACGTACCTTTTTTTTGCAGTCAGGTCTACCATCTTCAATCCTTGCTGAAATATGGTAAGGTATTCTTTGCTATTCTTCTTTTTTAAACGTAGGAGTTGCATAGCATTCACATGCTATCTTGGGTTGTGTTGTCTCAAAGACTTTCAGCAGTCAGTGTTGTCTGATCATTGTTTTAATTTTATTGAATTTAGAGGAAAGATTGAGCCCATATGTGTACCAACACTTAATTAAAAAGTATCTTTTAAAATCTTTCTTATTATGTTAATTCAAATTGGATCATATTGGACACAGCCTTTTTAAACTATAATAAGTGATTGAAACAGAAAGCGATGATAAATTGCAAGGCTTCATAGAGGGAAGTGCCTGTTGAACTGCCACGAAGGTCGTTGTTAAGGCTTGTCTTTATATTTTAAATAATAATGTGGAAAAAGGTAAAAAATAACACTTAAAATAATACGGAAAAAGAGGTAAATAACGGGTTAATGAATTCCTGAAGATACCAAATTGAATTATGTTTGAAATACTAGTAACCACTAAAATATGGCAGTAAGATGAAGCGTGGGAAAAATTATATGCTACTAAACTGGGAGTGGAAAATACACTTAAAGTAGAAAACAGGAATAAAACGTAAAGCCACAGAAAATGTTAGTAGAAGGTGAGTTACAATACAGTTAGATACCAACCAGTGCTGTACTACAGGAACTGGGAAAAGTCCTGTTCCTTGAAACAAGTATGTGCTGGCAGCCACGCTTAAAACAAGTTTTCTTCTTTGTAACTCCTCACTCTTCTCCACAATACTGTGTTCCTTGTGGGGTGCTTGGTTGTTATCAAGAGGTGCGCATCCTAAAAGGCATGGCATGGAGGCTCATAATAATTAAGAACAACTCACTTGTGAAAGAATGTTAGGAAAACTAAATGCAAAGTTAGTTCTGTCTTCAGAGTGGTAAGGAAATTTTTGTGTAGGGCCTTGAGGCTTTTTATTGAATAGTAGCAGAATGAAGCTATGAAGGGGAAAATGTAGCTTAATATTGATTCTGGGTTTGGGTTTGGGTTTTTTTTTTTCCCCTCCTAATTTTATTTACATTCCTGTGCCTGGTCCTCACATGTTTACGTATTAATGAGATTTCACATTTTCTGTCTCACCAGAAATTGTCTGTTTATGTATGCACTGTTGCATATATTTCCTGTTGTATTTAAGTTTATTTGGGAAAGTGTCCAAGGAAGACAGTGTGGCTACCAGGCATACAGAACCCATGCTGTTTGTGAGTTAATGCAGTTTTCATAGTGGTATATAGTGCCTTTAGCAGGTTTCTGCATCCTCCCATTTCAGATTCTTGCATTATTCCTTACAATACCAGACGTTAATTTAAAATAATTAATCTGGCTAGTAGCATAGGAAGAAGCATAGCAGAGGCATATCTGTAGCAATAAGTGTATTCACTGAGCAGGAGTCTGCTGCTTTTCTAAGTGTTCTCCTACTTTCTCAGGTATTCAATATTAAACATACAGCAACTTTAAAACTGAACTCTGCAGAAGCCTACCAAGTGAATTGTACTTAATGCAGTTAGAGCAACACTGTTTGCAAGTCCAGGTTGGCCTTCAATACCTGTAGGTTGGTAAACTAGAAAAAATAACCATCTGCAAACTTCTGAGGGTTTGAATGTTGTCAAAAATAAATTATCTACAAATGGTTGCAATAAGTTTGTTGTTTTCCTGTACAAAAGCAGTAAATAACTTTGATAAAGTTTCTCATTAACTGAAAAAGATAAATTTACATTTCTTCATTGTGAGCTTTTTGAATTTTATTTTATTTTATTTTTAAGGACACTGTCAGACCTGAACAAAGATGGAAAAATGGATCAACAGGAATTCTCTATAGCCATGAAACTCATCAAGCTGAAATTGCAAGGCCAGCACTTGCCTACAGTTCTCCCTCCTGTCATGAAACAAACTCCAGTATTTTCGCCACTAATGTCAGCTCGCTTTGGTACTTATGAATACATTTAATTACATAGTGTTTAGAGGTAAACAACCCCAGGCTTAATTGTAGCCAGATACAAGCATTAAACTGATCGTGACAGTTGAGTGAATCAGTAAAACTCAAGGATATTCTGATTTAGGAAATTTGCAAAGTCACTTGCTTGACATTTTTTATGATTTCATCCTTTGAAGGAATTTAATGCTAAAGAAAAACCTTCTGCTGAACTTTGTCATGAGGGGCAAGAAGGCCATTCACATTTGGTGTCTGTCTTGCAGGCTGTCATTTTGTACTGAAGGTCTTTTTTTGGTCTTCCTCCTACTCATTCACCTATTTATACTCGGGGGTTTTAAAAGTTAAGCTTAGTAAAGGTCAAAGTTTTGGTAGAACACTTTTTAAAAATATTTTTTCCAAATGAATCAGATTGTCTGTTTTGGTTTTATGTTGAGATGAAATCAATTATTTTAACTCTTTTCGTTTTCTGATGGTGTTTTGGATTCAGTGCATGCCTGTTGTTATTTTGTAGAACAAAATGTATGTAAGGACTTCAGCTGGATTACAAAATTAGTGTATACTTCTATACTGAAATTAACGTGTGCATATATGAATTAGACACACGATTGAAAGTGTCTGCCCATCAGTGAATCTTGTGTACTTGCGTACAAGTGCAGGCTGTGGCTGGCACACCGTTACTTCCTATCAACCTTCCGTCACAGCCTCTGTACAGTGTTGTCTTCCACAAGATTCAGCCAGTAATCACAGTGCCCTTTTTCACTTCAGGCAACTGCTTTAAAGAAACCACTTGCTGGACATGGGTCCCTAAGGATGGACTTTTCACCCATACAGATTCTTCTAAGGCCAATGCTTGGAAGAGACAGTTCAGAAACAGTATCAGCTTTTCCCTCCAGCGGATTGTCACAAGTTTTGAGTTGCGTTGTAATTCTCTCTCAGGGGCCAGATGTGGAAAGGCCTGTTGAAGGAGTAGTTATAGCTGCAGTTATAGAAAGCTAGATATTGTTCTTTTGTGAAATACTAGCTAAATCTGCCTTGAGAATTAATTTGTATTAATTCTTTAATTACTTGTAAAGATTTTTTTTTTTAAAATTCATGTTTTTCAGTATGCTTTCCTCTAGGGGTTGTCATGTGTAAATTTTAGAGAAGTAAATAATATACACGATGCATCAATTTCTTGCTGGAACCTCATCAATATTAAATCATGACTTGTTGGATTTTGCTCTAGGAATGGGTAGTATGCCAAATCTGTCCATGCCAACGTCTGTGTCTGCGATCACACCATTAGCTCCCATGTCTCTGACCTCCATGACTTCCATTCCTCCTTTGGTTATCTCTGCTCCCCTGGTGCCTTCTGTCAGTACCTCCTCGTTGCCAAACGGAACATCCAGCCTTCTACAGCCTTTGTCCATCCCTTTCTCTTCAAGTAAGTCCAGTCCAGTCATTTTCAGAATTGTGAATCTTATTTTCTCTATGGCTAATTTCAGACAGGAATCCTAATACTTGCATGCAAGTTTAGAAAAAATGCATTTATTTATTTATTTTTAAAGTTCACATTTGTCAAATCGCTTCTAACTAGTTAATCTTAACAACAAGGCACTGATTAGCTTTTATTACTTCTATCAAAGCCTTGAGTGTTTATTACAAAGCGTTACCTTATGTGTGGTTGCTTTACAGTTTTTGGTTTTGTTGTTTCTTTCAGCACTGCCTCATACTGGTTCTTTAGGTCCCATGGCAGGAGGGTTTGGTGGTACTAATATACAGAAGGCACAGTCACTAATCGATTTAGGATCTAGCAGGTACGAAAGTAAAGTTTAAAATGTTTGTATCTTAAACTTGAGTAGTAGGCCTTCCAAAACTTAGGGAGCTTTTGTATTTTAAATATACTTACTATAACTTAAAATTAGTCTATCTAATGTGACCTACCTAGTCAAAAAGAAGATTGTTTTAATATGCACCATAAATAATATTTTCACTAAAGCTGACAAAACTGTCCAAAGTCGGTGAGGAGTTCAAATGAGAGAAAGCAGTGCCAAAAAGAAGGGAATGTACCTCATTAGTAAATAGAAGTAAAACCTACTAAGTTAACCACTTAAGGTTTAAAAGCAATGTGTATGGATTGATGTGCTCATTCATTATAGAGGGCACTGTGTAATTAGCAGGCATGTAAGAATAGTATTTGTTATAAATATTTATGTGTGAATTTGTTTTATGAATAATAGAAGACTATGAATCTTTGCCATCAGCTGCTTCGTTTCACTGATTTTAGACCTCTGCCGTGGTCAAAGAGGGGGACTAGGCTTATCTATCCAATTGGGCATCCAGGGAACAGTCTCCCAAAAGACAATCCAGAGGGCATCTCAGCCCCGGCTCGCTTCCAGCAGGTGACTCAGAAGTGCTTGCCCCTCTTTGCTGCTGATACAAGGCAGCTAGGAAGAATGCATGTCTAACTTTGGGCTACTCATACAGAAAGACACCTGATGCTAGCAGATATTCGATGATTGTAGGCATGGTGTGTGCCTGTAATAATATTTTTTTTTAATTGGAAAGCTTTCTTTTACTGGTGTTGTAGTGTTGCAGAGTAGCTCTTTAGTGTTGCTGTTGACAGCGTTTTCACCATCATGTTCCTCTAATTCCATGCAAAGGATCCAGCCGTGTGCCTATAAGGCTTTGTTTATATCAGCAGTCCTTATTGCCTTGGATAACACTGCAAATAGTTTTTTACTTGTCAGAGTAGGGGATTCCTTTAAACAATGCAGGCTGGTTGCATCTGGTTTTGTCTAATCTTCAAAGATGGGACTCTGTGAAAGTGCTGGGAGTTGCAGGTAGAAGTTTTCTGGGTATAACTAAACACTCCAACCGTTGCTGTTCTGCAGAAGCTGAACAAGTTGGAAAAATTCCATTCAGCCTGTTACTGTCGCTAATAGAAGAAGTAGAGGTGGAATATAGTGACTTCAGCAGCTTTAGAAGCTGCTTTTGGTTATGAGTTTATCAGATAAATTTTTATGCTCATGGTTATTCATTTGCATACCTCTTAAAGTTACTTAGACACCTGCCCAATGCTTCAGAGCCCTCATAAATATCTTTGTGGAAGTTGAGATGCTTTCCTATGGTTTCCTCTAGTATTGCTTTGCACTGGTGGACTGATGAATAGGTGGCATAAGTGCCTGTGATACCAAGGGAGCAGGATCTTGAATTCAAGAGTTTCATTTTAGACACGTGTCCCTACCTTCACAGTAAAATTCCATATTAGTGGTGAAAGTATTTGTACTAAGTTAGCAAAGGTAAAACTTTGTGGAAGTTGTTTCATGTTACCAGAAGATTCCATAGATCTTCTGTTCCAATAACGCTTGTTTATTAAGCCAAGTAACTTAGACATCTTTCTTTCTCTTTTTCTCTTTTTCCTTTTCTTTTTCTCTTTTTCCTTTTCTTTTTCTCTTTTTCCCTTCCCCCCTCCTTTTTGCCCCCCTTCTTTTGCCCTTTTCCTTTAATTTAATTACAGTTCAAATTCTTCCTCTAGTGCTTCACTAGCTGGGAATTCACCAAAGATTGCATCCTCAGACTGGGCAGTTCCTCAGGCCTCCAGATTAAAATACAGGCAGAAGTTTAACAGTCTTGATAAAAGTATGAGTGGATATTTATCAGGTGAGTATGATATTTGATGTGGAGGGGGAAAACCAGCAATGTTTTCTGCCTCTGGAACATTGCAGGTTGAGGGATGCAATCCCAGTTTGGGACTTTACTTCCATATGAAATAAAAGCTGAAATTATTGACATTCAGACCTGTGCAGGAGTGAGTGAGTTACTAGTTCCAGTCAGCCAAGAACTGGAAGTAGCCATCAGTTTGTTGGCTTGGGCTCTGTGTTAGACCTGGAGGGGCTGAGGAGGCAGAAGTCTCCCCAGGTAGACTGGGGAAGCTACAGCAGCACTCGAGGGGAAGAAGAGAAATGTTGCAGTGGTGGGATCTCACTAGAAGAGCTTGAGAACCACAAGGCAGGGGAAAATTAGCTCCGTAAAGTCAGCAGTCATTTTTCAAGCATCATTCTTTGGGCTGAGACTCTTTCTTATGAGTTTGTACAGTGGGGGACATCTCACAATCATTTTTGTGCTATGTGCTTCCACGTACATGTGTTAGTAATCACTTAGATGTTTGGGCTTTATCTTTTCAAAGAAAGAAGTTTGGGGAAGACACTGCAGTAGTGCAGCAACTAAATTATGTTTGAAAAATTCCAATCAAGGGAGTCATTCCTTGTTGACTCTCAGTGACATTTGTGCTGTGTCACAGCATTATGGTGGTTTCAGAATACTTCTCAGACTTAATGCAAGAGTATAGTTTTATGAAAGTTCTTATGAAATTGGATTACTCGCTGTAATGCAGCAAGTCGAGCGCTGGCCAAGCAGTAGATGTGTGTATGTCTCTAGCTGATGAAGTTTCTAAGCACTTACCAAGCATCTGCCTCAGTTTCCTAACCTGCAAAATAAGGAGGACCATTTTCTCTTTCAAAAAAGGCACTTGATGCTTTTTCTCTTGTTCAGCTGATTTTGGGCTGAAGGTTTATCAGCCTGCCTAGAAAGATATGATTCTTTGCTATCAAAGGAAAGCTGACAGCTTTCCAGCATGCTAGCTCAATCTTTAGGCAGACAGTCAACTGTGCTTTTGTAAAGCTGTGGGGATTACTGTAAATATCCATTTTTCATGACAGTTTTTCTGTTAGGTGCTCTGAGTGAAGAAGAAAAAAAAAAATACACAGAATAATTACAACTTTATTGTGTTCAGCTTGTAATGCCTGTTGTTAAGCCTGGAAGTAATGCCAACTGTCAGCCACTGACGAAAATGGATTAGGTTAATATTAAAAATAAACATGCCCCAGTTCATGACCCATTTTTTTGCTACATGTGAATCTGTTCAAATTATTTTTATTATAATCTTGTACACTTTCACTAAGGATTTCAAGCAAGGAATGCCCTACTGCAATCAAACCTTTCACAGACTCAGCTGGCTACTATTTGGTAAGTTCAGTTACTGATTATGAATTCGGTGTGTTCATGGTGTTAGGAGAGGAAATGTACTGCATTTAATAAGAAATGATGAAGGGACACCATAGATCTAAAATCATAAACTGAAACTGAGCTGCTTCGTAAACTGGTTTGTACATTAGCATATTCTCAGAAAACACCCTGACATAATATAATTAACATTTTCACTGTTTGTGGTTTTTTGTTTAACTCACATAATAATACAGATATTAATTTCAGTTTCTGATTCAGTGATGCACTGGTTTAGCAGAGATGAGGGTTTGTTCATTTTCAAAGTAGGATTCTGAAATCAAGCTTGTTAATTTTAAAAGATGGAAAAGGATCAAAAATGGAGTAACCCTTCAGATTTTTAGAGTTTTACTGCAGTTCCCCTAAAGATATCTGCATATTACATGTTTGTGAAGACTTGCCCTTACTGTGATGCTGGAAATGGTTACATTTGTCTGAAGCTTGAATAATCTGTCTTTACACTGCTAGGTGCTAAGGATGGTAGTTTGGATCATGCCTTCAGATGTACTCAGGTGTTACACACAAAATTGACTGGCTCAGCAGAATTTACAATAGCTTGGTGCTTTACATCTCTTTCTGAGTCCCCTTTCTCTTCCTCTTTATCCCAGGGCAATCATTTGTTTGTCTCTAGCAGCAGCAAGCTGAAATATTCCTTATATTAGTTTAACTGATTTGCATGTTGTGAAGGTAAAAATGTAGTGGCGGGCTGTGCTCCTCCATTCTGGAGTATGGGGAAATAAAGCAGGTGTATAGTGACTGGTTTCCTCCTGGGTGCCTAGCAGGAAGGTAGCAGTAGCCAGTGTGAGGAGGTCTGTGTACCCATGTAGAGGATTAACAGCCAAGTTTCAGTTTTGCCCAAAATAAAGAATTACCAGTATTTCTACTGGGTTACCATATTCATGGTAATTACTGTCAAAATGCTACTGTCAGGTGTGAATAGTGCTGGTCTGTGAACATAAAAATCTTGTTTCATCATCTCTGGATGATTTCATCTCCCTGGATGTCTTCAAGGCCAGGCTGGATGTGGCTTTGAGCAACCTGGTCTAGTGCAAGGTGTCCCTGCCCATGGCAGGGGGGTTGGAACTAGATGATCTTTAAGGTCCCTTCCAACCCAAACCATTCTATGATTCTATGATCTCCTGCTTTTGTTTTTCACTGTGGTATGAGTGTGGGTAATGGCTTTTTGTTTGTTTTAGTCGTTTCCTTTTTGGTTTCAGTGTTCTGTTTTTGTTTTTGGCTTGGTTTTTTTTAAACTGCCTTTATTTTATTAAGCATTTCACTTAAGGGCAGTCTAAGGACAGATTCCTGCAATTTTATCTACATAGATCGTTCTTTGAGAAAGGTTCCTGCTTTCTATGCTGCTTGCCTGTATCTCTCTGCAACCTTCTCTTGAAACTGGCAGAGAGATGGATTTGATGGATGAACTGTTCGGTGGATGAGAAATTGGTTGGATGGTCACATCCAGAGGGTAGTGGTCAACATCTCGATGTCCAGATGGAGATCAGTGACAAGTGGTGTCCCTCAGGGGTCTGTACCGGGACCAGTACTGTTTGATATCTTTATGAGTGACACAGACAGGGGGATCGAGTGCACCCTCAGCAAGTTTGCAGATGGCACCGTGCTGTGTGGTGCCGTTGACATGCCTGAGGGAAGGGATGTCATCCAGAGGGACCTGGACGAGCTTGAGAAGTGGACCCCTGTGAACTTCATGAGGTTCAGCAAGGCCCAGTGCAGGGTCCTGCACATGGGTCGGGATCAGTACAGGCTTGGCAGAGAATGGC